GAGCCCCAGGGCAGCCCTCCAGCTCCCTGGCACGGCCCTCGGGCTTTAGGGAGAGGATCCAAGCCCTCAAATCACCCTCCTGATTGAGGGCTTGGAAGTGGGAAGCGGCACCATGCTCTTCCTCATGGCTGGGAAATCCGAGCTCAGCGTGGAGCCCACGAGGGCTCGGCTGTGCAAGGGTTAAATGCGGCTGCTCGTCCGGGTCTCGGGGGCCTCCCACTCGGCAGGCAGGGTATGAATAGCTGCGCTCCCCTCTGCTCGCCGGCACTCTCTGCTTCCCTCCCCGCCTTCTTCTCCCCTCCTCATCCTCCCGGCCATGCTGAGCACGGAGAGTTTGGCGGGGCCCCGAGCCCTGGGAGAGGAATCGCTGCAGATGTGGGACCTCAACAAGCGCCTGGAGGCCTACCTGGCCCGCGTGAAGTTCCTGGAGGAGGAGAACGAGGTGCTGCGAGCTGAAATCCAGAGCAGCAAGAGCGGCCAGGCGGGGGAATCGTGGAGGGCCAAGTACGAGGAGGAGCTGCGAGCGCTGCGGGATGCGCTGGATGTCGCCTTCAGGGACAAATGCACGGCCGAGCTGGCCAGGGACAACCTCTACGAGGAGGTGCAGCAGGTGAGAAGCAGGTGCCAGAAGGAGCAGGCAGCCCGAGAAGCAGCCAAGAAGGAGCTGTCCTTGAGCAGGAAGGAGCTGGAGGAGGAGAGGAGAGCGCAGATCTGGCTCAAGGAGAGAGCCGTGCAGCTGGAGAAGGAGGTGGAAGCCCTGCTGGAGGTGCACGAGGAGGAGAAAGCGGGGCTGGACCAGGAGATCGCCACTTTCTCGCACAGCCTGGAGAGTTTCCGCTGTGCCCCCGTGGCTCTGCAGCCCGTGGAGGTGGAGGATTACTCCAAGAGGCTCTCGGAGATCTGGAAAGGGGCGGTGGAGACCTACAAGGCGGAGGTGGCTCAGCTGGAAGGTTCCCTGTGCCAGGCCAAGGAGAACCTGTGGAAGGCGGTGGAGGACAACCAGCAGAGCCAGCTGCAGCTGCAGCACCTGGAGAAGGACCTGGCGGGGCTCAAAGCTCGCAAGGAGATGCTGGAGGAGAGCCTGGCCCGGCAGTGGCAGGAGCAGCGCGGGGAGGCAGAAAAGTTCCAGGCGAGTGAAAAATCCCCAGGGGAGGGGACAGCAGAGGGGCTGGGGGTGCTGGGTGGGCACACAAGGCACGACCCTGAGCAAAGAGATGCGAGAGATGGGTGGGGGGAGGCAAACAGAGCGAGCAAACCCCAGGGATGGGAGGGAGGTAGCCCTGGATGAGCTCAGAGGAAGCTGGGGAGGGCAGGAGGAAGAGCAAAGCGGCTTGGGGACATCTCTGTCCCTGGGGACAACAGAGACCCGGGGCCATCAAACTGCAGCGGAGCAGCAGCAGCCGCCGGGGGCTCCCCTGCCCGGTTTCGGGGTGCGGATCTTGGGGCAGCCGCAGCCCCGGTGTGCGGGAAGGACAAACTCCCAAAAACTCCCACCGAGTTCGCTGCAGCTGCGACCCGACAGCTGCAAAAGCCATTCAGCGGAGGGAGGAGGAGGCGGAACCGGCTGGAAATACCCGGGAGCGGCGTCAGCACTGCCCGGGGAAGGGTCTCCCTTTGTTCCAGCTGCTGGGAGCAGCCCTGGGTGTCCCGGGGCAGAGGATGCCGCCACCTCCGCTGCTCTCCTGGAAGTTGTTTCGTTCCCACGCTGGACGTGAATCAGCCCGGCCTTTCCTCCCTCTTCCAGTCCCCTTTCAGTCCTGCTCATTTCCCCCATTTCTCAGCCCCCGGGGCTAAAATGAGCTCCGGGCTCGTCCCTGAGCATCCTGCGGGGATGAGCCGAGCCCCGTGCCCGGGCCAGATCCGCGGGGTTCGGGCGGGGCTGGGGGTGACCCTGCCCATGGAGTTGGTTCATTGCCTCGCTGTGAATCAGCCCGGCCTTTCCTCCCCCTTCCCATCCCCTGCCCCTCTGCCCCATCCTCAGCCCCCGGGGCTAAAATGAGCTCCGGTCCCATTCCTGGGCATCCTGCGGGGATCCCGAATCCCGCAGGGAGCTGGAGAGGTCAGGAAGGGCTGGGGGCGATCCTGACCCTCCTGTGGTGCCCGCAGCTGCCCATGGAGTAGTTTCTTTTCCACCTGGCCGTGAATCAGCCCAGCCTTCCCTCACTTTTCTCCCCCATCCTCAGCCCCCGGTGCTAAATTGAGCTCCGGTCCCATCCCTGAGCATCCTGAGGGGATCCCGAACCCTGCGGGGGGGGTTCAGGAAGGGCTGGGGGTGACCCTGACCCTCCTAACCCCCCTGTGATGCCCACAGCTGCCCATGGAGTTGTTTCTTTCCCAATCAGCCCGGCCTTTCCTCCCTCATCCCATCCCCGGCTCTTCTCCCCCATCCTCAGCCCCTGGTGCTAAATTGAGCTCC